GCAGGGGGGTTGGAACTAGATGATCTTAAGGTCCTTTCCAACCCTAACTATTCTATGATTCTATGTATAAAAGAGTGGCATAAAAGCTCTGCAGGTTTTAATGGTGTAAGGAAGGATAACTTACTTTTTTTCTGTATCAGCAAATATTAAGTTTCACCTGTATTCAGAATGATAAAAAATGTGAACTCATTTAGGAACACAGCTATGTAGTTCAAATTCAAATGTGAAAGCAGTTTTTTAAAAAGAGGTGTTTCTCCCAAGATAGCTTATTTCATACTGGGAAGTGTCTAAGACCAGGAACCCTGTGTTGTCAGGGGAAATTGCATTGATAACCATGTTTCTGCAAGTCTTCCCTATTACATAGACTGAGTTGTATCTTAATAAAAGTAATTTCAAATGCTCATCTGTTACCTTACACTGGGTTTGTTTCTTATTCACCTTTTTGTGACTGTTTTGACTTTGAACACTTCCGGTGACACATTTTTCAGCCCTCTTCCTGGTCTCTCAAGAACTAACAAAAATCACTAGTCCAGTATAAAGATTAATAATTAGTTATTAAACTAATTGAAGTCAGCAACACTAATCTAGGAACACAGCTAGGAACCCTGAGTAGGCCCTGTTCTATAACTCCAGGATGATTTAGGATGCAGTGGAGTGGAAGTACCACAAGGTGGGAGGCAACCCCAAAGGCTTTTGACTGGAGCCTGTAAGGACAGGATAAGGGGGAATGTGCTCAAGCTCAGAGGGGAGATTGCGGTGAGATATTAGAAGTGCTTCCCTGTGATCCTTAAGGTCCCTTCCAACACAAACTATACCACGATTCTGTGATTTGAGAATCTCCGTCACTCTCCACTTCTCCTCCTTCCAGATCTCTGCAGATGCTTGGAGAAACCGATCCTGAAAGTCATCTGCTGATGATGCTGTCAGTGGGCAGCAGATGAAACGCTGGAGAGAACAAATGTGGATCTTTTGTCTTGGGACGTGCCTGTCAGTCCTGCCTCACATCAACCAGGCGAGGCTTGTAGATGGAGGAGTGTGACTGGGACGTGAGTACCAGTGGTGTCCAGGTGGGGCAGGATTAACAAACTCTAGAGTAGAAGAGGCAGCTCAGCTGTCCACGAAGTAAGTTCAATGTAGAACAAACCTGAGTTCCTAAACAGTGGCTTGTTTTTCCAGGCTGCTTTTGCTAGATACATATCACTATCACCAAGGTGTTAAAGCATATTTCCCATTTCACTACTGTGAAGTCTTTTAGAGGGACACGTAGTTACTGGCAGACACTTGCTTCCTCAGGCTGCAGTTGCTCTTTGCTTAGGAATTTGTCCAGTGTTCACATAAAAGTAAACAAAGGAGCTGAATGTTGCTGTTGGGCTCCTACTGAGCTGCAGACTTGCGTGTCCAAACACCGGCCTCTTGCAACGCTGTGTGAGAACATTTGCAAAGCACTTCCCCTTCAGTGAGGGGTTATGTTCTAGAGAAGCGTGTGTTGTCAGCCTATGGATCCCTTGGGAATGGGATGCTGCCTTTCAAGCAGAGAACTGGGGAGACCTGCAGTGCATCAAGGCTGTCTCGGGACGCTGCGATCCAGCTGTGTTGTGAGTCCAGCCTGGTGCTGGAGAAACCGCAGTCCTGGATGCTGTCCATACGTGTAGTACTGACCTGCAAAGGGGAGGCAAGGCAAAGGTGAAATGGTTTTGAGTGTAAAGGGGGAAGCAAGGTGAAAGTGATGACTATAATCATGAGAGATGTCCAAAGATCCCTGGTCTGTGGTAAGGATCTTGTTCTGTTGTTTGCTGGTAGAGCAGAGATGTGAATTTAAAGAGCAGCTGGAAAATCAGCCTGTTGATGCTACTAGAGTTACCTCAAGGCCTTTAAGAAAGTTTAGTCTTCCCGTTCCCTTCCCTGTGACTATTGTAACATGCTTTCTGTTTCTCCTTTACTTTAGCAAATGCCTCCATCAACAGGAGGTGAGGATTCTCTGGCCTAATGGATGTAGGAGATCACACAAGATGAGCTGAACAGTCTCCTCTGGCCTTGAAAGCCCGTGGCTCCCCCATTTGTTTTCTCCTCTCTCAAGACAAGGATCACTGTAACCCCAAAGCTTACGTGGCTGTTGATGGGATGACCAGAGGCGCAGTCCTTGTGGCACAGGTGCAAGGGAGCTGTCAAGAAAAGTCTTGCTGCTGATGGTGCTCTGCTGTGACCCTCTCTGCCCCCTCCCCAGTCCTGTGTGTGTGAAAACAGACAACAAAGCCGAAGTCTGTAAGTCTGGCCGCTGGGCAAGGTCTTGTTGACAAATCGTGGTGCTGAGAACTTCCTTGTGGGGCATCAATCACTGCCCAGGATGGTGTGGCTGGGAAGGGATGAGCATTCCCTCTTGTTCCTGGTGTGGGCAGAGAGGACAGGCACCAGAGCAGTCTAGAGTACAAGTGGCCTGTTGTCCAGCAGGCCGAGTATTCATAGAACCCTGGAGTGGTTTTGGTTTGGAAGGGACCTTCAAGATCACCCTGTTGCAAGCCCCCCGGTTCTGCACTGCTCTGCCAGTCTCGACTGTATTTGCAACACTGGTAGCCAGTCACAGTCTGTCTGTGACGGACAGCCAGCCACTGGCCTCTGGCTGGCAGAGGGAGAAGTGAGGCTTCTGGCACCATCCCAGGGGCTTCTTCCTGGTGGCAGGAACAGCATTTCCTCCAGCCTGCTATAGGATGGAGTACCTGATAGGCAGTGAATGATGCTGGCCTTGCATCCTCCGTGGCTCACACCAGAACTGCTGCCCACTCATGTTTCTCTGTGTTTCCAGGTCACAAATTATGACAGGTCTGCCACCGATCGAGCTGTGGAACTCAGTGGGTGAGGAGGGGCGTGTGTTGACATATGTGCTTTTCATCACTGTTAGAGTTCACGATTATACAGGCTTTTTATTGTTTAGGAACTTGCTGATGTTTCTTGCTAGTGGTTTGTTCACCTTTGCTCTTTCTGTGTTCTGTCACCTTCCTTTAGGTGGTGTCCATCAACAGAACTCTGGTGGCACGAGGGCTTGCATAAAGAGCATAAAGGGCATGAGGGGCTTGCTAGCTGGCTTTACTACTAGCGGAGTAGGTGTCAACCCTTGATAACACTTTCTGCAGAGAAACAAGAAGGAAGAAACTGTTTTCTGCACTGTTACAATTATTTTGGCGAGATCTTGCCAGAAGCCCCCTTTACACCCGAGTGCGAAGTCTTGTGGTCCATTGAAACATGCCAACTGTTACCATTTCACTTGAAACACATCCGTCACCTCATCTTGGTGAAAGGCGCGGTGTTAAAATCCATCAGGACAGGTACCGTGGCTTTAAAGCAAAAAATCCTCCCTGGCCTCTCCTCCAAAGCTGCATGGAAAGACCTTCAAAACCTTAGGGTTCACTTGAACCTACAAAATGCCTCTGAAACTGTGGTTGCATTTTGTTCAGGATCTGTAGTTCCCCATGAACTTAGCATCTGCTTTTCCTAGAGGTTACATTGCTTGCCCTTGTTTAATGGGCTCTGCTTATGAAATTAGTCATAGAATCACAGAATCAACAAGGTTGGAAATGACTTTTAAGATCAACTCCAACCATTACCCCATGTCCTCGGTTCAGATGTGACATTATTTTTCTCCTTCTTACTAGCTGTGCAGTGCTGTGATTTCAGCTTTAGTCTGAGAACAGTGCTGGTAACATACCAATGTTTTAGGTGCTGCTAAGTAATGCAGCAGCTTTTCAGTCTCTCGTGCTCTGCCAGTGAGGAGGAGCACAAGAAGCCGGGAGGGAGCAGAGACAGCACACGTGACCTAAACTAGGCGAATGGGTATTCCATGCCACAGCACGTCATGCCCAGTACATAGACTGGGGGAGTTACCCGGAAGGGACCCGATCACTGCTCAGGTAGGGCTGGGTGTCAGCCGGCGGGTGGTGACCAATTGTACTGTGCATCACTTGTGTTTATTTTTTATCCCTTCCCTTTTTAGATTTATATTCTCTCCCCTTGTTATTTCCCTGATCATTATGATGAGGAGGAGGAGTAGTAGTAGGTTTGTATTATGCTTTGGTTATTGGACTGTTCTTTTCTCAACCCTTGTGGTTTAAATTCTTTCGATTCTCCTCCATGTCACTGGCTTTTGTTTGGCCACCGCTGCACTTTGAGCTGATGATTCCAGAGAATCGTTGAGCATGGATGTTTTCTACTACTACTGTCTTCCTAACTGTGCTGGGACTCCACCCCAGGTATCAGAATAGGAAGCAGGTGCTACGCAAGGGCAAATGCTGGATATTTGGGGTACCAAAAGAAAGGTCACAAATTCCCATTTTGGCAGTCAGTTGTGTCAGTTGTGGCTTTTTGATGCAGTAAAGAGTTACAGCTCGGGGGCTGATCATTACAACTCTGGCATCTGAGGGGACGATGTGCTTGCCTGCAAGGTACTTAAGTAAGGAGCCTTGCCCTGCAGCCCACCAGTCCCCAGGCACCGGGACTTGCCTGCAGAGAGGAAAGGGAATGATTTACTTTACCCTAAGAGTTTGTTACTGCCTTCAGTAATGTCAGGCTACCCTAACAGGGTGAGTTATTGTACTAGGTATGAAACATTTCCATTTCAGTTCCAGAGATCAGGCTGAGGAGGTTAAAAAGCCGTGAAAGCAGACCGTTTCCAAATAAAGCTCATGAAAATGTGAAATAACAAACAGATAACAAAGAGATTTTTTAATAGAAAACATTTAATAATACATTGTTAGGAGTAATGACACTCTCACAAGCAAATTCTGTGTATACAGGGTGGAGGTTTTTCCCTTTAGCAGAGTAAGGAGCTAATTTAGCATACAACCAAGTCCTTGTACAGAGGAATGAGTCTGTGAATAGTTCTTAATAAATTAATAGTAGGAATGGAAATAATTAAATTAAATAAATTATCATTATTTTCTCTCTTGTATCAAACCTACACAATAAATACATTTATAAATACCATGGAAATCACAATAAATAAATCTTACAGATTCCATAGGACAGATACTCCAAGTGAGAAACCCCAGCTCTCAGCACAAGGCTGGCTGTGGTTCAGGAACCTGCTGTTGACACAACATACTGGCGCGCTCCAGGGGAGCAGGAGGAAATATCAGTTTGCTGGTGTTTTAGCAAAACGGCGTAAACGGGCCGTGCTGCGAGTGCCGTGCACTTCCCCAGGTGCGTTCGGCTGAAGTGGTTGCCAAGGATCCTTCACTTCCTTTATCAAACCGCTTTTCCTATTCAAGCATCTTCAGTGTCAATGAGCAGGCGACACTGCCCATTCCAAAAGGCTTTCTTAAATAGATGCAGTGAAATCAATCAATAACCAAATCCGCAGGAAACAGAGCAACGCTGATGGAGGAGGTGGCAGATGCACCCTGTTCGAAAGATGCTTTTCCCAAATGCTTCTCTCAAGGGAGGAGAGGGGGCAGGTCCCAGATTTGTTTGTCCTGATGTTTCTCAGAGTGGCGAGTCAGAGTTGAGTTGAGCCCTAGGAAGAGGTGAGGGAAGAGAATCATTTAAAGGGAGGTTCAAGGATAGTTACCACCGCTTAGCATTACCAAACAGTTGAGTGGTCTGTTTGCCACTCTATGGGCTGTCCTGAGGCAAAAGCAATTACTGAAATCCTAGTGTGTGCATATCTGGTGCCCAGCTAAGAAACTGCTGCTGCAGGAGTTTCTGCATTTTCTTGCATCAGGAAACTCATTGTTTCAGAAATAGGATTTGTTAACATACGGGACTGTAAGAAAGGAAAGATGCGTGTTTTTTAAGCCTTATTTTTCAAAGGGAGGCAAACATTTCCGAGTTCCTTTCCTTCCAGACCAAACTGCAGGTACTCAAAGGTTTAGTATTGACGCATCCGCTTGAACAAGGACCTTGCGGCAGTCAGACTCTAGACCAATTCTGAGACTAATTCTGTAATTAATCAGCAAGTTTCCTTGGGTTTTTATATCTGATGAAGAGAAAATGGGAAGTACCACTAAGAACTGGCCTTTTGGGGAGGTTTAGCCCTCAGCTGCCCAAATGGAAAGGGAATGGGACTTACTTGGCCAAAATTGCCTTTATGATTATCTGCACCCAGGGAGCAGTGGGCTCCAAGCACACCTCTCTGCCATCCTTCAGAGTAGCTCTGCAAAACAAAGATTAAAGAGAAGTCAGGAAACCACTGCATGGGTCGGTTTTACTCACAGAGTGTAATACTGCATTTGTAGGTGAGTGTAAATTCCCCCCAGCTGCTCTAGGTTAGGCTTGGCCGATTTGGTTTATGTGTTCCACAGCAGAGGAAACTAAAAGCAGCCAGGAGCTGTGTGACTCTGTGTCTGCTCTCAAAGCAGCCACGCATTCCCCACATCTTCTTCAATATATATGGGTACTTGAATTGGTTTACGTAAGTGACTGAAACCTCCAGCGCTGAGGATGCCTCAGCAGGACAAGATTTCAACCTTTCAGTCCCTCCTCTGTGCTATTTAAGACCAAATTAATTTCATTTCTTTCCCTGTGTCTGCTTGTGGGAACTTACTTTTTCCCTCTGAGACTGACCCAAACTGTTTCCCAGGAGTATTTTTGCTTAATAAATAAAGGTAGCATTTAAAGGGCACTGTTGTCTCGTGTATCAAGAACTGCCCAGTCCTTGAAATTAATGTTTTACCCCCAGAAATATTTAATATGTCCAATGACAGATAAGTAATGATCAGTTTGGGAATACCTAAGGTCATAGAGACGATGAAGAACATGGTGTATTACTTAAAAACCGCCTCTCTCAAAAGAATAACCAAATCTGACCCCATCATGTCATGGTTATGAAGTGTGAAAGCCCCAGAAGCAGGAGGAAGGTGAAGAAGAAGAAGGTTCTTGCAGAGCTACTTACATGACTTCAACATTCTTGCAGTGGGGGCCGCTCTGTGTGAGCTTCACATCTTGAATGGACTTAGGAGGGATGAACTTGGAATGAGTGGCTATGCACTGGCAACGTAGCTCGGTTCCCATCCTGGCCAGGGTCCTACCTGTGAGCAGGAAAGGAAGGACATGGTTGGAGAGGTGCTCCTACCCATCGCTGGGTCAGACATAAAGCTCAACTTCTCTGGTTTATCCACATTCTCAGTTAAAATACAGTATTTGTCCAAGCTGCCTAAATCAGTCCTTATGGAATAAAGATGAGTTGCTTGTTTCAAAAGGGATGATGCCCAAGTACATTGAAAACTAAATGAACACATCCTTTTAAAGTAAACTACATGGCTTGTGTTTACTTGTACTGGCCACACTGTACGGTTATGGCACCATTTCAACATGTGGATTGACAAACTGGCAACTACACAGAAGACAGAGCCCCTGAGTTTTTCATTACTGGAGGCTTGTCCATGGTTGTGTGTTCATATCTGTTCTCTGTTCCCAGCTGTATATTACTTGCTTGAGGCAGTATGATCATTAAGTAACAAACATGAGGTCATAAGCTGTTCATTATGTGGGAAGGAAGTGAAACATTCAGACACTTAAGAAGGAGATCCTGTCTCTCTCTGCTAACGCTTGGAGTGAAAAATAGAAGCAAGGCAAATTCAAGCTGCATCCTTAAGGTTTTTCCCACAAGATGTCAGTAACTCATCTGCACAAGGGCTATGTGAAGCAAACCTTCGGACTGCAGAGGAGTTGCTGCAAATCTCCTGAAAGAAACTTCCCCAAACCAATGCAAAGCTACCTCAGTGCAAGGAGAAGCATCTCGGAGATGCCTACACAGCGCTATGGTCCTCGGGAGGGATTCACTCACCCTGACAGACAGCCACGGATATCAGGCAGAAAGCCAGGACAGCCACGAGTTTGCCGTTCATCGTTGGGCAAGGAGCCGCTGCTGGATGGGTTCTGTGGAGCTGTGAGCTCTTCTGTCCCGAAGGGTTGCTGATGCCTCTCAGGGCGATCCATGTGGCTTATATAGGGCTTTGCGCCCCTCGCCTCTGCTGGGCTAGCATGGGGATTGCGTGAGAGGAATTTCCCAGATGCAGTACAAATGAGTCACATGACTGTTGTGAAACGGCTTCCTAGATGACGAGGAATTATTCTGCCGAGAATGATAGAATGTGTTAATTTATCAAAATATGTAAATAATAGCCATGCATTCCTATGCCTGGTGTTGGCTCTTGGAAATGCCGTGCTTTTCCTAATGCATACCCTGATTGAGTAACACAGCTCTGTGATGGCCTCAGTTACATCCGTGTTATAACTTTTTATCACAAGGGAATAACTCTTCCCTGTAGAGGTGCCAGCTCTGTACTTGAGACAGTGAATTTCTCATCTCCATTTCTGCTGATAGCTTCCACTTACCTCATCTTAAGCCACTGGAGTGGAAGCGGGGCAGTGCTGAAATCACTGACAAGATTTTTCACTGGGCTCAGGATTTACCTTGGCGTTATTTTGATATCAATGACTTTAATTCCTTGCGCTTTTTTCGATGTTCAAGGCGCATTTTACAAAGACAATTTATCTGTGCTACTGCCAGCTCAGGACAGGACCTGAGGCTGCAGTCTTCAAAGCTTCCTGGGGAAAGCAGATGGTAAATTCTGAGCAGTTTTGAGAATCCTCCTGCATTTGTCATGTCACACGTATTAATGAATGATGAACAGAGGAAGCTTTGCATGCAGGCTAAATAGCATGACCTGCGGAACTGCTATTGCTTTTGGTCCTTTGTAAGTCTAGATATTTTTAATGAGTCTTTTCTGCCTTCTTTTTTAGTGACCATAACCATAGGTCTTAGCAAAAGGAAATAACAAAGCATTACAGCACTGCTGGAGATATTTCTGCTCAAGAGCCTTGTTGCATGAACACCAGCTCTTTACTTGCTGGGGCTGGTAGAGATACTTCCTTTTGAGGGTGACAATTTCAGGGGAACACTTGGAATTAAATCATAGAATCCCAGACCGGTTTGGATTGGAAGGGACCTTAAAGCTCATCCGGTTCCAACCCCCTTTTGCTGCTTATCTCCAACCTCAAAGCTTCATGTTTTGTGATCTGTGGATTTATGTAAGTGCTTCTCCCCAACTCTGGGGAGCTCATAAAGGCTCAATTATCATTAGCATGTACAGCATTATAAGTTATTTATAGTAATACTGTAAGAGCTTGCCCGTGATTTACTATGGTTTACTGTGTACCATTTGTCATAAACTTACTTGAAAAAGGACCTCTGTGATGAAAATCCATCTGTTTCCCAGCACTGTCTCAGCCGGCCCAAGGGAAGATACCACCAAGTTTGTCTTTCCTGCCTAGTGATTCCAATTCTGACTTCTGAGCTGTGCGCCTCAGAGAGCTTTACGTGTATTCTCTGAAGGCGTGCCAAGGAGAGGATTTTACCAGGTACTGAAGGTTGTGTTTTATTGTTCATGTCGTCATGCTAAATTCACAGGACGGTTTCACTGGAAGCAGGCTGTAAATGTTGGAGCTTTAACGAGTTTACCTGGAACAAGGTTCTGCTGATTCTTTTCCTGTGGGCTCTCTGTTTCTCTGTGTCTCTGCAGATGCATGCACACCCGCAGGGCAATTAAAGTTGTATTAGGGATCCCACTTTTCTCTGCTACTGTTTGCAGCTTTGTTATCTAATCTTGCAGTGTGACACAATGTCATTAATGTCCGAGGCAAAAAGAAAGAGAATTCCCCCTCAAATCCCCAGTGAAAACCAAGGATCGCTTGTCCTCCTGACCACTGGGCTCAGCAGTTTCCTGAGCGTGGCAGTAACGGATCTGCAGAAATCCCCAGGCCAGAGGGAAGCCCGGAGCCTGTTCTACCTCTGTGATTAACCCTGCCCCTAAGCGAAGAGATCTCTTCAGAACAGGATGTTTCTAATGACAAAACCCACCATGTTTGCTGAGAGCTGAGGCATTTTCTCTCCCTCCACTTCTTCTCTGATGGGATACAGCTCCATTGGGATTATGCGAAGGGGGTGTAATAGAGACGATAGAGGCATTAAAAGGTGAGACATGAGAGCGGGCCCAAAGCCCAGGTACTCCTAACCTGGATTCCTTGGGGTGCCCGAGTCCTCCCTCCATCCTGTCTACTCTTTGCCCGGGATCTCACCCCAGCCCCAGCCTATGGGAACCCCAACTCCATTATCTCATTTTGGCAGTGTGAGTTTTCCCACCAAACAGCAGAGATGACTTGTGCAAATGGAATTGCTGCTCCTTTTGCAGGGTAAGTCACTGAGTGAGCTGATACCGCCGCAAGCAGATACCTTCCATGACTAAACCCGTTAAAAGCATGTCGGTAACCAACAAAACAACAGTTAGGCAATAGTTCAATAACTGAAAGACAGCTGAAAAGGGAAGTAAATACTTCCCTTGGCTGTCGTTTGAAGGCAGGGTATAGGATGTGTTCTCATGATGCAGGAGGGAAACTAGTGGGTTTTCTTTTTCCTGATTCGTAGCCCTGTCTAATGAACACAAAAGTCAATCTTTTGTGATCTTGTAAAGGATCATTTAGAGCCTTTGTATGTAGCGAAGGACACCCAAACACAGCGGGATCGGTGGGGGGGATTCATGTGTGCTCTTGTGACCACGATAATCAGAGAGATGAGGGAAGAGCTGGGCTTCAGCCCCTTCCTTGTTCCAGCCACCCGGTTCCAGAGGACTGCTCCAGCCCGTGGGCTGCTTCAGTTTCTCTCAGTAAGAAAAGTCAGAAAGCCCCTGCCTCGGTTTAGACAAATGGAAGCCTCTCACCTGAGCAGCTGTGCGCACAAGACCCCGGCAGCCTGGGACACAAAGCTTTTGCTCAGGCGAGGGTTCAGCCTGTGCAAGGCGACCTCTGCCAACCCCTGTCTCCTGGGCGTCCTCTCTGCAGCCACTCTTGCTCCCCAGGGAAAATAAAACCCTCTCTGCCTGCTGAAACCACCTCCTGTTCCCCGCAGAGGGCTTGGCATTCGCCTGCCGTTCCTCTCCATCTGCCAAGAGCCAAAGGGTAAATATCGGGCTGGGAAATAATCCCTTGCACTGCTCAGGAACTGGGCACAGTGCTGTGCAAACACTTGCGAGGCACGGCAAGGGGAGCAGAAGGGCTCCTAAACATCTGCCTTTGGCTTGCTCTATGAGGAAGTGAGAGCGTAGAAAGGAGAAAAAGCCTAGGTCAGCCTGTGATTTTCCGTCCAATGGAGTGTGTAAATACAGATGGTGACGTGCCCTCAGTCAGATCCTGGCAAGTTCTGAGCCCCTCTGCACTCACAGAGCAGCAGTACAGCTTTGTAGGTGATTTGGCTTTTAACTGACGTGTTTATAAATACAAGAATATATATTTATGTGGCTTCATATTTATTTGTGATATGTATTTCATTTCATATTCACGTGTTCTCTGCATGAAAACTGTCTATTCTCTATTGTAGCTTCCAGTTTAAAAGCTGTTGTGGGTTAAATGAAATGTTGCATTCGATCCAATTCAGTATCAGAAGGCACTGATGATATTAATGTAACGTATAGAGCAATAGCAGAAAATGATACGTTAATATTCACTATAATATTGACATAAAATATTACCAAATATTACCAAATCTTAAAAATAAACTGGATCGACTTGGTTTTAGCAGAGAAGACACTAAGTCCAACCCGTGAGTTGTTATGGATGGGCAGCTGGAGTTCTTGCTCATTGCTTTAGCTGCGTTTCCCTGTCCTGAGCTTGGCAGGAAGCATTTTCTGGCTGCGGCAGTAAGATATGGAAGTGACGGGATGAAACTAATGGGAAGTTTTGAGAAGTTTATACCAGGAACTTCTGAGTCAATGAGAAGTGGTCAGCAGACATCATGCACATCATGCATTCATGTCCGCCTCTTAAAGGGTCACTTGCTGTAACCCTTACTGCTTACTTAAACTCTGTGAGTCCATCATGGTCTTTTTCCCTTCAGTCCACCATCGCCATGACCAGTCACCTCTGAGCTGATAATTGCTGCTAGAATCCCCATTTAAACTTCTTATCCTCAGGAACTAGATTATATTGCCAGGCATAAACCACAGGTAGCAAACCACGATGGGAAAACATCTTTAACAACCTTTTTGACTATTGAAAGAAATTAATAATGAGTGCAATGGGAATTAATGCATTAAACTGATGTTTAATGGCAAATGCTTCATTCCTGGCAGTGTCCAAGGCCAGGCTGGACAGAGCCTTGGGCAACATGGTCTAGTATGAGGTGTCACTGCCCATGGCAGGGGGTTGGAACTGGATGACCTTAAGGTTTTTCCCAACCCTAACCATTCTATTACTCTCTGATTTACCATAACAAATATATACGCTGCAAAATCCTTTTGCAAAGCAGAAAAATGTGTCCTGTTAGAGTATCAGGTAGAACTAATATGAAAGAAATAATATTGCCAACCATTTCCCATTTTGTTAAAATAATGTCTTCTCTTCAGACCTATGACTTCTGAACTTCTTTTTATATATATATATACGTGTGTACCTCTACCTCCATCTTCCTAAGTGAAAATACAGCACAACAGATACCACTTCAGAAACAACACAAGGAATTTAGTGTCTCCAATTTTAGATGCTCCCTTCTTAGAACAATTGATGAGACATAGTGAAGCACCTCGCAGGTGGTAATTTAGGTGTCAGGCCACGCTTGCTTGCAGCTGTGCTGCAGGTACCTCCAGTCAAAGACTGCTTGGCTAAAGTAACTGATAAAGACACTCCATTTCCTTCACTCAGTCACATTTTAATCAGCATTCCCCATGCCAGTAAGTGGCACATCTCATAGATCATTTTACAAATATGTTGCCATAAAAAGTTCTTTTCTGGGTATAGAAAATGAAACTTTGGTCTCTGTAGAACTCATTGCTGCAGCTGCCAGGAGCAGCTGGTGCAGGATCTGTGCCACTTCCTCAATGCTGGTTCTTTCATGGAGAAGTGGATGTGAATTCACTTCTCTTCTGGCCACCTAGAGGCATCACACTTTTGAAAGAAAGAGATCCAGTTTGCTTCATCGCCTCCTGTATGGAGCATCTGTTCATCTTTGTGGCATTACCTTCAACCTGTCCCAAATCTAACGTGTC